CATCACAGTTTGTTGTGTATGGGGCTGCAGATGCCACTAAATCTTGGACCTTTTAAAAAAAAAAAAACTGAAACAATGGCAGATCAATACCAATGTACTGTGTCATTCGTTAGACATGAAATTAATAGTTGACTGTGTATGCATTGTAAAGGTTTTTTAAAAACAATAGATCCTTGTCAAAAGGCTTGACAAAAGAGAGTTGATGAAAACTGAAGTGACTGTGTGTGTGTGTTTGTGTGTGTGTGTGTGTGTGTGTATATATATACTGGTCCTTTTTAAAGGAGGCATCCAGCGGTATCTATCTACCTCCACAGAAAGCAACTAGCAGCGTCTGTAGATAAAAATAGTTTATTTTCATTCACATTCAATTTACACAGATGAAAACATATTTATGAATATTATATTCAATTTCTGCCAATAGATCTTCATAAATATTACACACTGGACCTTTAAGGCCAGACATGCTACTCAAAGTAAAGTGCTGTACTTTTAGTATTTTCTTAGAAAGGCAGAAGCACAGAACGTAGAGGTTGAGTCTTTAAATCGGTTGAAGTGAACAAGGTGGCTTTTCTATGCTAGGTCAAACTCTTTGGTGTGGAAGGGCATTTTTGGATTCAATTGCTTTTGAGGACAAAATTAAAGTAAATGCATTGAAGCTGAACTTGTTGAATACCAGTCACTTTACTGGCCAGTTTGACCTGCTTTGTCAACCCATTTTTGTTCACCAAAGGCTATCATAGTTACAAATTCTTGAAGGGATTCATTGCTCTTTAAAAAGAATTGCTGGTGAGCCATCTTGAAAATGTTATCAGTGGTCCACAGATATCATCAATGATAGTGATTATTTACAGTATCAGAAATAATTTTAGTGCCCTTATCCTAATTGATAGGGTGGGGGACATGGGTACTGTGTGGTACTGGCTCAGACTGTCTAATGTCAGAAATCATATCTTTTTGTTTTTGAGACATTCATAAAGAGCTTTTATATATAAATATACTGTATTGTCGTCAGTGTTTTTCTTTTTTTCTGTTGTCAGGTGGTCTATAAAATGTTTGTTATTGTTAATAACTAAAATTACAGTATCAATATTTTTGTGTTCTCAGTGACCTAGCCGTCTTTCCCTGACTCCCCCTTTCTTCTTTGCTGCATTTACATCTCTCCCTGCTCTCTGTTTACCCTCACCTCCTGGCAGATTCTTCTCCCTTCCATATATTTACACCCTCTTTTACTCCACTTCATTACTCGCCATAACTTCTTCTCTGCATCTCCTCTCCTCTCCTCTCTCAGTGACAGGCAACAGGAGATATAGCTCTATGATGTTAAGTGCTGCTTGATAGGTGCGGTGGTAAAGTATTGTATCTTAGCAGGTGTATAAGCGTACTATCGGGTACAGTGCATATGCGTGTGTAGGCGGATGCTGATGCATTTTTTGCACATCTGGGAATACGTGCAGTCTTGTTGGTGTGCTTGCCTTGACATTTTACAGCTTTAGTGATTGTAGTGGTTGTCCTATAGGCATATAATGTTCCTCCCATTGAAGGTCTTCGTATTGCCCACACCTCAGCATATTACACTATTATAAGTCGGATTCATAAATTGTGCGTATATACAACGTATATGAACATTTATATAGACAATAAATATGCACAATGGAAATAGGTCCTAATTGTTGTTCTGTGTTTTTTCTGCATTCTCGAATTATTCTTCTTTCTGCACATACAGTATAAAAAAATTTAATGTGTGGGTGTGCACATGCATGCCTGAATGAAAATATACCAAAGTGTGTTTTTGCCAGCAATTGATTTTCCCTTTTCTGCAGCATTCTGTTGACTTGCTTAGAGCTTGTTGTTGCGTAAATAAATAGCATAGGTAAAGCTTTCTTTAGCTTCACATTTTTTTTTTTTTATTAATTTTTTGACATCCTGCTGGAGCTGGACAATATGAGGGACAAAAAAAATCACATTGCATTCTTTTGACAGCGATTGCAACGTGATTCACAATAAGTGAGAATGATCATTTCACAAAAAAATATTAAAATTATGATGATGTGATATTTATTGGGTAAATATCCTTAACAAACAAACGCGTTTTTTAAAACAAGGAGAACAATATTCGTAGACCAGGGCAACTCTGCAGTACTTCATTATATTGTTTTGTCACACATTTTACTTTTATCAAAATATTGCAGCTTCTTTTGGTCATATTAACATTTTAATAACATTCTGATGAATTGTGCAGCCCTAGCCCTCGCTATTTTTAGCTGTTGATCCAAGCAATAGCTGTTTTTGTTAGTCTGACCAATATGAGATTGGTCAATATCGGTCTGGCTCCAGTTTTCCTGGAGCCAGACCTGTATGTTCCTTGTAAACTAGACTGGGTCTAAAAATACTTTCAAGATTTAAGTGATCTATTCTTATGATGCAAATTAAAGCTAACACTTTTGGTTAAAATTTGAGAGTGTTCCAGTTTGTTTTAGTTCTTTTTGTTTTTGTTTGCTTCTAGTTTCATTTACGGTGCAACATTATTACACCATTGTGGTGAACATTCTCAAATACTGTATCCTGTTTTTGCTAGTTCGGATGTATTTCATGCTACTTGGTTTAGTCATATTTGTAGATGATTGTTATAATATTCAATTCTCTGCCTGGTTCTGTTTCCAGAATAAGGTGAGCCCCCTCAATGTGACTCCACCCATTCAAGCTGTGGACCAAGACAGAAACATACAGCCTCCCTCTGACAGGCCAGGGATTATATACAGCATCCTCGTTGGTAGGTTTACATGTTTTTGGTTTATGTGAGTGCATAAGTATTGGACAATATATACAATGAGGTAATGTACTTTTTTGTAGCATCCACAGATTTAGACCATTGTAGGCAGTGTTGCCAATCAATGATACCTTACTTTGTCAAGTACTAAATTTGTTGTATTGAAAGAAAACAGATATTACAGTCAATTTTTTTTATATACAGTTTCTCAGTTAATTTCTCCAAAACATTTAATGTATTGCAATACATCCATTATGATAGATCATTCTAACCACATAGCTGACTCCTAGCTGGCACAGGACCATGCACAGTCTACCTGATATACCAGGTATTATTTAATTCAATCAATTTTCATGAGCACCAAGTCAAACTATGGTATTTATTTATTTTAAATGGTTGAATTTGAGGCAAAATCTCAAATTCTGTCCCTGATTGGTCACAAAAAAGAAAACATAATTTAACAGGCTATTTACCTACAACAATAGAAAAAAAACTCTGTAATTCCGGGTGACAACAGCACATCTGTTCATTGAGAGCCCCACAGAACCAAATCTTGTCAAGTCTGTGGTCTCAGGGCTCCTTAGCCCAGGGCCTAATTGTTAGAAAAGGATTATACGGTTTTTAAGGAATGCATTTAAATGTTTAGGTGCAGGATTAACTCGGCAGAGTAGTACCGTATTTGAAGTAATTGTTAAAAGGATGCTAATAACCAGTTTGCAAAGGATAAGATGTTTCCAATGCAATTTAAATGCAATTATATACCCCTTAATGACACATCTTGACTCTTTTTTAAAATTGTAAAATGCAGCGTCACAACAAAAATTGACTTTTATTCATGAGGGTCTGCAAAGTCTGTAAAAATGTACTGACATGACTTGACACAGACTTGATTACATTTCCAAAATTCCTCCTGTGAAACTAATCTCTGCCTGAGTAAGGATTATGAGAGACAGTGTCACAAAGGGCAAAGAATCTGTTGCAACAAAAAAAAGAAAGAATTAATAGCTACCGAGGGTCAGTTTTCAGTTCAATGTTTAAAGATTTTAGCTCTAGTGGCCTTCAATACAATACATGAACAGTGGTTGGTAATTACTGTTAGACAACAGTGGTATTTTGCAGAACAGCCCGTCGCACAGTGGACCTGCATGTATTCACTGTGGCCTTGAATCTTGGATGCGTGGACATTCTCACACCTTGAGAAAAAGATGCTGTAGGCACTCATACAAACATCCATAACCACAACTATAGGGGGAATCATGCTGTGTTGTCCACATGTGCCTGTGTTGCTGCTCCTCTCACTAGAACCTGATTTCCCCACTGAGCAATGCAGCATTCCAAAGCACCATATATGTATGTATGTGTGTGCTGCTGTGTGTGTGTGTGGTGTGTGTGTGTGTGTGCTGTGTGTGTGTGTTACAGTGTGTGTTACAGTGTGTGTTACAGTGTGTGTGTGTGTGCATCCCCACCTGTGGAGAGCAGAGATGAGAAAACTGGGAACATTAGCCATGCCTCTCTTTCTCTCTTCTCCCCTCTCCCCCTCCCTGTCTCTTTTATACTCCCCCATAGACACCCACCAGACAAACTTATATTGATTCTTAAACCAATTACTGATGTCTCTCCCTCTCTCTCTCTGGCACGCGCGCATGCACACACACACACACAAACGACCCTGTAGTTGTATATTTTGTATTTGCTCTGTTCTTACTGTTCAATCTTATTGCGTGCTCTCCCTCTCTCAGGCAAACCGGAGTCCTATGCAGAATATTTCAGCTTGAACAGAACCACAGCAGAGCTCATGCTACTAAAGCCCATCGATAGAGAACTCCACCGCAGATTTGATCTGGTTATCAAGGTGAGAAACACAGGAGCTGCAAACAGGAGAGGTTTAACTCAATTCTCTCCCAGCATGTTTCTTATGGGAACAGTAACCTCCCTCCTCAATGTGCAGTGCATTTTACTGCCTTTAACCCCCCAAAATATCCATCAAGCTGTTGATCAGTAAAACCGTGAGCTCAAATAAGGACTAAATGTTCTTCCTTAATGTATTTATTTGGTGCTTCCCAGTTTCTGTCAATTAAATGTAGTCTACCCTAAACATGTTAAATGCCAGTAATTGTAAAGCATTGGAACTATCCCATACTGTGTGAAGGTGTTTTGTCTCAATTAGGCTGGTAATGGAATTACACCACCAAGCATACATCAGGTTCTGCTCTACTGAAATTGAAAATGGAATTTTTCCTCTATAGGAAGCCTTTTCTATAATTAAAAGTGTGTGTCGGTCTGTGTATATGAGTGTACAGCTATTGTCTATAAAATGACATTGCATCAGGTGTACTTTTGGGGTGGTAAAGCTGTTGGATCCCATATGAACTAATGAATAAGAGAAGGAGGAAGAGACACGAGGGAGCAAAACAGCAACAAGAATTAGATGTAGATGACAATGCCAAACTAAATAAGCTGCAAACAGAAATGGAGACGCAGACGAACGCACAGGTACACAGGCAATCAAGGAGTTGTATAGTCGTGTTTTTTAGATTGTTTAGAGTTTACTAAACTTGGTCTGGGAGAGTTGAAGGGAAGACGTGGTGGGATTGACGTGACACAAAGATGCTTTGTGAGGCGAATTTTAGTCATAACTCAATTCTTAAGGCGCAGACATGAAACAAATATCAATATTGTTCAGTGTGAGTTACACTTGTCGCAGATGTCCCTAACTCAGGTGTACATTGTGAATTTTAAAAAAAAGTAATCTTCAGCTAATAGCTAATTCAGCATACTTTTTAATGGTGCCAATTTACAAAAAATATAAACAAATATAGGATAAAAACCAGGACTCAAATGAGAATACCAGTAGTTACATGTAGCTGACATTACAGAAGCTCATTTGATTAGCTTTTATGGGGGTCTTGCTCTCCTGATGGCTTTCATTCTTTCTGTCTTCATTTGTTCCTGAATAAACCTATGCATTGTCCCCGTCTATCAGATTGGCCAAAAAATTTTGTTTACTCCATTCTCATGTAATGTTAAAATCATGCCACCTCTTCTAGAGAAATGAATTATTTGGGGCTTTAGTAGTTTTGGGAGGTAAAGACCAAGCTCATATTTAAGCTGTGCTACACACAATTTTGTTTATCTCATCAGCCAAATTTACAAACAGTAGAAAAGTGAAGACAAACCCCACATTTGCTGTTTTTCTCTAATACAGTTTGGTCTCTTACGGGAAATTGATTCTGCTTCAAAAAGTGACAGATTGAAAAGCTGACTCAGCAGTGATTAATGACTCAACCTCACCAAAAATTGCAATTCATTTACATTCAACTTTGCATGCAAGCACATAGGCTTTGTTTGTTATGAAACCCAAAATGTAGAACTGCCATGTATTGGTACTGTCATACCATTTGTCAGAACTCTATTGGCTCCTATCTTGTTACATATTATGTGAGGCATTATCATTAAAACCCACTTCAGCGGCAGGAGTTAGTGGCTAGAGTACAGGAGGTGAGGCATCGCAGCCAGAATGAACAATTATTTTCTCTCTTCGCCTTTAGGCAGAGCAGGACAATGGCCACCCCTTGCCAGCTTTTGCCAACCTCCAAATCGAAGTTCTGGATGAAAACAACCAGGCGCCCTACTTCCTGGAGACCAGTTACCATGGCTACATCAGTGAGGCATCACCAGTGGGAACCACCATAGCGACCAATGCCAGCCTGTCTGCACCGCTGGTCATTGTAGCTCTGGATAACGATGTGGAGGAGGTGAGGACAAAAGCATTTAAAGCTGTAACTGACTTAAGACATTATAGGCTGATTAATACTTTTATCTACTTTTTATCATTTTTTCACATTCAAATAAACACAAGATATTTTATGTATTATAATATATCAATATTTTATGTGTGTATTACATTGTAGCCCTATGTCTCTGAGGAGTTGCATATATGATTTCTTGCATCTACTTCCTCTATAGCTCACAGCCAATCAGATGCCTGTAGGTATTAGCTTGAGTTTGTTCCTTTTATCTTTACCTCCTTTTGCTGAGTTCTCTGAGGCTTCAACTGGTTGATTAACAAGGACTGTGTCTAGAACTAGAATTCATTTACTCCAAATTTCAATGGTGGAACTTTCCATTCTCGCATGGCTCATATGCAGTTTAAGTGATAATGACATGACAGTGCTGGCAGATGTTTCACTCGAAAATCATCATCATCATCTTGATTTTGGAAAAAAGGTAGACAACAGGAGGCTTTGTGTTTTTAGGCCGGAGACTTGTCCACATTGACAGCTGAAATAACATTTATATACTGTGCTGGCATGTCCTTATATTCTGGTTTGATGGAAAAGAAGCACTTTGGTACTTTGGAATGTCGAGTGTGTAAACAAACCAATTCCTGTCTTCAGACACAATTAAATCACCATGTTATCAAAACAAGCAGCATAGTGACTGTGTTTAAAGAGGAGGGTACCTTACAGAAGTGAAGGTTTGAGCCATTGAAATATCCATTTTAGCCCTTCTTTTTGTTCTACTGAATCTCTACTTTGTGCCTTGCTTGCAGTGTGTGAAGTGTCCTATCTAATTTCCCTGTGAATCTGGATAATAAAACCCTTTCGCTCTTAAATTGCCTCTCAGTGATAATGTAAGAATTTACAGTGCTGCAACATTGTTATCGCCGATGCATTCCCAAGAGCTTAGTTTGTTTAAGATGTAGCATAGGCATTTTGACAAAAACAAGCTTTGGTTCATTGGGTTCTAAAAGACCCCCACAGCAGGGAACGGGCTTAGTGAGGATAATGTGTGTGTTTCTGTGTGTTCATGAGACTGGATGTGTGTGTGTTTGGAGCAGTTGATATACGTTGAGTTATTTTAAATATTGCTAACCCTGGTATTTCCTCCTGCATTAAGTACCAACAATGATGATTAGTCCTAATTGCTTTTATGTGCCGTCCATCACTTTTATTTATGTATGTGCATACAACTGAGTGCATGTTCTTAACTGTGTGTGTGTGTGTGTGTGTGTGTGTTTATTTATGACTCAATATCCACACTGGCTACATCGACAATATTATCAGCCCCCCTACCCTGCTGAGCCAGCCTTATCTGGAATGAGAGCTCACACACACATACACACACACACACACACACACGCGCACACACACACACATACAGTGTACACACACACACAGAGGAGGTGATTGTAGGTAATGTCAGGGGAGGACTTGGATGAGGATTGCCTCTCCATCACAGAGTACACCACACACACACAGACAGAGCCCTCTTAGGAGAATTTTTATGTCAAGAAAACCTTGGAGGAGATGGTTTTTCATTCACCTTCTCTCCTGTCTAAGCACTTCTTTGCTCTCTGCTGTTTTGCATATTTTCATTTGTTATGTTTCTCCACTTATTTATACTGGCTTTCCTTCAATTTGTAAAATACAATAAATTGTAATATTTCAAATACAGAAGTGGAAAGAGAGAAATAAACCCAACACATGTTTCTTGCCTGTTTAAAGGGGTTCTTTTTTGTTATCTGCTCCTTGATTATTCACTGTATGGTCATTGGGCATCCAATCTCCTAAAACCTTAGGGTACTCCTTTGATTGAACCACTGGAGGTGCCATCATTTCATCTCTGTGGTTGTACTGGGCTGCTCCGGGGTGTAAATGTGTACCTTCCCTGTGTGATTAAAGATCAAAGAGGAAAAGATAACTGCTGTAATGTCTTCCCTGTTCCTCTAAACATTTCTCTTTCTCTCCAACAGACCAGGGATCCTCAGCTCCAGTTATCATTGGACAGCTATTATCATGTTTTCTCTGCATCTGCTACTGGGATCAGAAGATATCTCACCCTGGTTCAACCACTGGACAGGGAGACACAGGACTCCTATACATTCACGGTACTATAAAGCCTTGGAATTTGTGTGCATTATATACAGTATGTGTGGAAAAAGCTGGAGAGAAAGTTTGAATTCATTTGAATAACTTAACCTCAAATCAGAGACCTTTGATAAAAAACGTAGGGGTGGTCTTGGAAAAAAAAGACTTTTATCTAGAAAGGGAGGGGAACAAAGCTGAAAAAATAGGAAGAGATGAGTGAAGAATTAAGAAAGAGGTATGACGAAGAGAAGACGACAGGAGGTAAAAGGGGGTAGATAGCAAGGAGAGGAATTGGAGGCATGTGCACCTGTAGCTCTATAAAGTTGGTAATATTTCAAACCCATTCATCCGTTTCCCAAGTAAGGAGGGGGCAGCAAGAAAAAGAAAATGCAGGAGATGGCTGTGAAGGTGAACAAGAGAAAACCGAAGAGTAGGATGTTACATAGAAAAAAAAAACAGTGGACATAGATGGTGGAGGGAAGAGAGCCTTTCATAAACCAGAAACAGAATTTAACTTCCCTCAACTACTGTTTAAAGCCCCTTCAAGGAACTTGGGCTGCTGATTGCTTTCGGAGTGGTTGTGTTTCTACTCGCCTCGTTCTAATTTGATTTGAGAATCTTGACCGTATCCAACCTGGTGGCAGGAATTAAGAATAACTATATAGAGATAGCCAATCCTCTGGTCTTGTGTGCTTATGTAGGTCATATAGAGGCATTAGTGAATTGAGACTTTTATGAATTTTTGGCTAATTTTCAACATTCAGGCCAGGACTTGGCTTTTCAATTGCTTAGTGCAGAAATGGATGTAGAAACCAAGACTTATTACAGTGGTTGCTGTCTCTCTTTCCTTCAGTTATCCTGCCTCTATTCATTCTTTGTTCTTCCTTTGGTCTACTTTGCCCTTTTTTTGTCCTTTGTCCCTTTCCATTTTATTTCAGTGCAATCTAATTCAGCAGCATCGTTATTGGTAAGGCACATAGAGGCTTGCCCGTTGCCAAGCACAGAGTATCTCTCTGGTGTGTGCGCCTCACCATATTATGTACAGCATTGTTACTTCATACAGCAGTCTGTTATCTGTCAAGTTCAGCCTGGTCACACTGGTAGTGTGTTTGTGCGTGTGTGCACGTGTGTGGGAGTGGAGCATATTGTATAGTTTAATGCGGCCCTTTGTGTGCATGCAGGTACTTGGAAGTTAAAGATGGAAGAAGCAAAAGGTCTGGTGTATTGTTTGAGAGGCAGAGGTGTACAGTAATCATCATGAAAGCCTTGCAGGAGAAATTAAACTGGAGGAGGAGAGAGAGCAGGAGAGGGCTGTGAGACATGGAGGATGATTTTCATTTAAAGGAGAGTCAATCAGCTTCTTGGCAGATGAGCCTGTAGGAAAGATTGGTATCGGAGAAGAAGCTTCTGTTGCCGTGCACTTCGATAGGCACTATGGTTTCTTAGAAAGCAAAGAAATGCATGTTCTTGTTATATATCTGGCAGTGTTAACTGCTTTTATGGAAGAGGGGATTCACTGGAAGAAGAGAGGAGGAACAAAAGTCACAAAAATTGCCAATCCTTTTTTTTGGGAATCAAAAGCACTGTAGTGTCCTTAACCAATATTTTAATTGTTTTTTTTTTTTTTTAACACACAAGAATATGAGCACTAAATGTTTGTGTGCTGACTGAAACCAATAGCAAATGGTAGCTTTTTGACTCTCTCTGTCACTTTGTGTAATAACAAAAATGTCCAAATATTACCCATAAATAGTATGCAATTCGCTTACTGTTGGTTTCATAGGTATTGGACACAGAAATCAGATTTAAGAATAGTCATTTTTATTGTTATCAAAATACTAATAATTATAGACAATAATGAAGTATTTACTCTACGTTCTATAGATATTTGAATCAGATTTTATATTGTGGGGAAACCAGGTATACTGTGAGGAAATTATAGGTGAGATTAAATATAGAGGAGACAACAGGGACAGATTAAGTCAGAGTTTCAAGAGTTTTCAGTTGTATCCACAAAAACACATAAATAAACCCAGAACAGGGATTTAGATTAAAAAAGCAGAGATCAGCTAGACCCGAAACAAACAAGGAAACAAACACACTATCAAGATGTCAAAGACATATTGAATACACAGTCGCACCTCAGGATTCTCAAAAGGTAGCTTTTTGCTGCTCGGCTGAGCGTAACATTTTCAAGAAGGAACATTTTATTTCTTACACATTATTTGTAAATCTCTTTCTTTGTGTGTTTATTTCTCCAGCTTTTAGCATCTGATGGCGTCCAGCAGAGCGTTCCAGTTACCGTGACAATAACGGTGCTGGATGCCAACGACAACACTCCCACTTTTACTAATGTCTCTTATAATGTCAACCTATTTACTGATATGATGACTGGAGAAACTGTGTTACAGGTACACACTGTCAAACACATTAACACAGTACTTTAAATATGTAGTATTTAGAACTTTACTAACTTAGTAGTTAGTACGATTAGTTTTTAAACACATGGCACTTTTGTGTGTATCTCTTCCCAGCTGTCAGCAGTTGACTCAGATGCAGGTCCCAACGGTCAAGTCACCTATCGGATCTTAGCTGGTGACCAGGGACATTTTCTCATTGGCAACAGGTAAATCTATCACTTGCATTGAAATGTTTATATTTTTATTTTAACATTAAAGGAGTAGTTGTACATTTTGAGTGGTTGGAAGACTAGAAAGGCGCTATACAAGTACAGGTCCATTTACCATTTTGGAAAATATGCGTTCTTCACTGAGAGACAAGATTGAACCCATTTTCATCTCTGTACATTTAATATGAAGCTACCACCAGCAGCCAGTTAGCTAGGGAAACAGCTAGCATGGCTCAGTCCAAAGGTAGGAAAAAAACACCTACCAGCACCTCTGAAGGCTTGTTTTCGTAGAAGGAGTTTTAGCCACATTTTTTATTCATCCTTCTCACACTTGTCTGATGGAACAGATTTGCTTCTATACTAATCATTACAGCTGTGTGCAAAGGCTGTGTAATGGCGCACGCTGAACTCTCGGAGTGCTGCCAAATCGCGGATGACCTAAGCTCAGTACTGTATCTGAATGCATCCTGTGTAGGCACTGATGGAACTGTAACTGCTGCTGCTCTACTAACATGCTGCTTTCGCTTCACAGGCTGTGTAGACATTGTGTAAAACTCTTAAATTCACAAGTTGTGTCTTGTTTAAATCTGTCTGAAAAACAAAGTAATGTAAAAAATTACAATTTTGGTTTTAATGGGGGAGACTAAAACCTCTGCAAAAAAGCAAATAAGCATATTTGACAAAATGTCGAACTATTCCTTAAAGTAATTCAGGGGTTATTATAGTGTAAAAACACTTAGTTGCTGTTTTTCACTTTGGGGATTGGGCATGAGACCACAAATTCACTTGTAAAATGAAAAATGCTTCAGTTAAATGGATGTATAGATTTCTGTGGTGTTGTTTGAGGTCTTGGTACTGTTGACATTATTGATGGTATCTTGTGTAGAATTTGTAAACACCTATATATCAGTGTCACATTAATAAAACGATTAAATCAGTATTTGCCATAGACATATAAGCTTAAGACTATTGGTGGTCTGCCACTTGGAAGATTTTCTGAAGAAACCAAGGGGGTGACATAAGAAAATGTATTTATTAATGTTAACTACACTTACCAACTTCATTTTAGTCATTTGAATAAAAGTGTTCATAGTCATGTCTTATTGAACGAACTGTTTTCACAGCACTGGGGTGATTACTGTGGCACCAGGTGTTGAGCTCACTGTTGGGCGGAGCTACGCTTTGACTGTAGAAGCCATGGATAATGGGCCTGTACCTCAAAGAAGGTAAGAGTTTCTCTGCCTGCTTCTTCAGTCTTTTCCTCTGTCTGTGTGGAGTTGAGGCTTGAAAGGTCATCAAATTTCTAGAGCTTTTACACTCACTGTCAGACACTCCCCAGCCCTCACCCTCGCTCCCTCTTTATTTCTCTTTTGCTGCCATTCTCTCCATCTTTTCACCCTTTTCAGGTGTGCCGTTTTCATTTTTATGAAATATATGAATTCTGGTTTTATACTGGAAAATGGCAGGAAAGAAGTCTAAGAGAAAAAAACAATTGATAGTATATTTGTGAGAAGGAAAGAAGAAAGGAGAGTAAAGCAGAATTGAAGGTAATGAAAGGTTGCCTCACTACTAGTTTCCCTATTCGTGTGAAACGGAAATAAATTATACAGTCTGCATTTCAGAGAAGGGACAATTTCAGCATTTTCAGGCACACATTGCATCTACAATAAATGCCAGAGATGGTAAAAGAAACTAAGGGTAATGTACTCTATTGCTTCCAAAGAATAAGGACTTACTTGAAAAGGTGGTATTTTTGGATTTTTGCACTAGCCTGCCTTTTTCCCATCTCCTGCCCTTCATCTTTATGGATTAAATCAATAAGGTCCCTTAATTTTCACCGACTCACAAACTCAGGCTACTCCTTAACATGTGTTATTTCATGGAAAAAGTAACTGCTTCTAATATTTTGTAAACTCTGTATGTATTGATTAGTTAGCTAAGGTCTGCCAGAGAGCAGTTCAATTGTGAAATTGTAGTTTTAGCAATTACCGTGCAATATCTTAAAATAGAGGCAAATCCAGCCATTGAACTATTCACCCACTGGAACACAGTCAATCTCCATTGCGCCACAGATTGATGTAGCAGCTGCACAGACAGAGAGTTTGATTCTTTTAGTGTTTTTTGCTGCACTATGCTTCAGCTTGACTAAAAAATATATAATAAAAGAGGAACTCAGTGGGAGCATGCCATGTGCTTTTGCAGGTTTCTGGAAAAAGGGACAACAGGAATCAAAAGGTGTTTGCTTTTTCATGCACGTTGTCCCTCTTTTCATTTTTCTCCTGGTTTTGAGTTTTCTTCTCTTCTTTCATATCATCTAATACAGAAACGCCATAAGGAAAACTCTTTAAAATAAGAGAGAGAGAAATTGGCATCAGTGAAAACAAAAGCCATACAGCCTGAGCTATGGCACCATGAACAACGGCCTGTTGTTTGCTGATACACAAAGCACACTTGGGTGTAGTTCTTTGTGTTTAGCACTTTTGAATATCTCAACAAAAGGATAAATTAGCACTGCAGTGTCCTTGCGGAAAGGACAAACAAGCCAAGTCCTTGCTCTTCTAACAAGAAGCGCAGAACAAAAGCAACGCTTGGTTACAGACACACAGGAACGTTTCAGTACTGAAGCAATGATTGCTCGTTATGTAGCCTTGTGGAAAAGGAAACTAATTTTATAGGTTCATATAGGCTGAGCAGGTCAATGGAGAATATTCCTCCCTCCCTCAATTATTGATGTGTTTATATGAAAACACTTGAGGAAGTCACTGAACTGTTAGATGTTTAATTTAAGCTGTCAGTGGCCAACAGTAGGGGATTCTGTTCATCAATCTCCTGATGAAAATGTAATTAAATTTCAAACTTACCTGTTTAAATGTAAGAATACAGGAAAACTATACCTTTTGCATATGAGTATGACCATCAGCAGTTATCTCCCCTTTGAGCAACTCCACACTAAACCCCTTGCTGCTTTTAGAAGTGTTGGTCTCTCTGGATAAACTGAACTAGTGCAGGCAAAGGCAAATGGATTAAAAGAGTACTACCAATTTAGCATTGCACTCCTATATAACTGTCAGACTCACGGTGGGTCATTTGAAAAAATCAATGCTGCAGAATCAGAGATCAGTTTTTTTGTTCTTCTTACTTGTCAAAACCTGGCACCTACTTTAGATTTGGGTATGTCATAGTCATAGTAGTGGCTACTGTAGATTTGAACCACTAGCTTCAAGTAGGGTTGTACCATATCGGAAATGCCTCAAACTGACTAAAATGCTAGATTCTGTATCGATGACTACCCAAGTCATGCTAAGCTGATTGAATTGGTTTGTTATATTGTTGGAATAATTTACGGTATATTTTTAAAAAGTAACTGTAATGCGCACTGTAATGTTTTGCATGCTGTGAAAATTAGGAGAAACTGCAATTTTTGGGTAAATTTGATATACTTGTCAGACTTGTCACTGGCCTTTCCCTCACAAATGATCTTTGGTGTTTACCAGACAACAGACAAGTTTATTTCGGCCTGCCATCAAGTTACTCATGGTACTAACGTTAACTATTGACAGCTAATATAATGTTACTTGCAACGTTTGTCATTTTAGCCTGTGAAAATTGCCAAAAAAAGGCATTTCAGTTAAGTGAAGTTCAGTAGAGAAAGGATTGGATTTTGATCTGCTTTATTATATCCAGTACTGATCCATTAAAATATGCCTGGATCGTCCCAATACCGATCCTTAGGACTGGCTTGGGACATCTTAAATGAAAACTAGTAATTAAATGCTCTCAAACCTCTCAGCATTTCAGGCACTCAAAAGTCAAAGCTTTATGAAACAACACAAATTAAATTTGTGTAAACAGATGACTTGTTGACTTTGTCTGAGGACAGCCCCCAGGTGACACAGGAGCTGTCTCAGATTCACCCAAACTGAATCAATCTGCTGAGTCAAATGAATCAATCCAGTTTCACAAAACAGCTTAAGTGTACATCAAAAATGAATATGATTGCACGCTTTTATCTTTATTAATAAAATGTATTTGTCACAACTGCATTGGATTGCTCTTTCCAACAATGTTTGTCAGTCATAAAAACCTCAAATCCTCTATCCTCTTGGCTTCAGCTATGTTGCTGCCAAATCAATACAGAATGTGAACCACTGCAGATTGAGGTGGTTCTAGTGATTGGCTCACAGATTGTCCCCAAATTTCCCCAGACCCTCTGTATATCTCAGCTGAAAACATAACCCGCATAACAAATCAATATCTATCTCTGCTACCTGATTTATTAAAACTGAGTCAGGACCCAACATGAGCGGTGTGTCCTCTTACTAGTGGGTGCCAACAAGACATGAGTGACAGCATTTTTTAATGACTTTGGATTTCAGCTTGTGAGTATAACATCTCCATGTTAGGGGGCTGGAACTGTTAAAGGACCCTTGGGATACATGTTTCATTCAGATTAGAAGTGCTTTTGCATGGCCTAGATAGATCCACCCTGGAATACTGAAAACAGTTTATGCTCGGGGGTCTCATTTATACTTTAATCAAACTGTAGGGTAAGAGAGAGAAAAGAGGGCAGAGAGAGAACAGACGAGTTAGGATAAGACATTAGATAAATAGCTAGCGAGAGATCAACCTAAAGAGATAATTGTGCACTGTACCCTAAGAGGCATGTAGTAAAATATGGAGGTGGTACAAAGTCATTGTTTTGCAAGCAGTGTTGGGCAAGTTACTTGAAAAATTTAATCAATTTCCCAATACATATTACTCATGTGACTTACTTTACTTTTGTTACTTGGCCCAGTTCTGTCAAAGGTGCCTCAAAACATTTCCAAATCCTCCACACCCACAGGACAACTGTGCTGAAAGAGAAAATTAAACTTGAAGGACCAATGTGGATGATTTAGGAGGCTCTATTGGCAGAAATGAAATATAATATTCATAGGTATGTTTTCATTTGTATATAATCACCCAAATATAATCATTTGTTGTTGTTTCGTGTTTTCGTTACCTTAGAATAAACAGTTTACATCTAGTCTTCAGACGCGAGCAGTGTTCAGTTAGTTGCAGTCTGCTAGATGACACTAAATCCTACACACTAGTCTTTTATAGTAAATGGACTGTACTTGTATAGCACTTTTATAGTCTTCCAACCACAACATGAAACATTCACACATCCATCACAAACAGAAACTAACATTCATCCACATTTACACACCAATGCACAGCAATTTTGGGTTCAGTATCTTGCTGAAGGGCACTTCAACAGGAGGAGCCAGGGGTTAGCGGACGGCCCACTGTACCTCCTGACCTACAGCTGCCCTTTATTCACTTTCAGTAGCACTCACATCCAAGTGAACAGTATATAGGCTGCTTACATTAATATGGTTAAATAGGCTTAAAGAAAATAGACTTAAAGCATAAAAATGTGCTTTGGGTTACATGAAGCTGTTATGCTGCTGGTGCCAAGAGCTGTATTGATTGAAATCGAAATGCATGTTTGTGATGAGACGAACAGCTGAAAAAACACATCTCAAAAAATTGTCCAGTGTCGACTTGGTAGGCGTTGGTAATGAGAAGAACAGCAATTTGATGATGAGAGTTCAGAAGAGAAAAATAAACAGGACAATGAAGTGCACTCAGTGCCAAAGCCATTCACCTAAACACTCATCTAACCCAATAATGATTTGCTGAACCGCCAAATAACTCTAAATGACTGGACTGAAGGAGGTTGTGTGTGTGTGCAGTAGGGCAGAGTGGCGACTCAAAAGAGGACAGAACATGCTCAAGAAGCAACTTCATTTTTTTTCCTTCATTGTCTCTGCAATAGTTTTCATGTGCAAGTTAGTGTTTGTATGTACAAATGTGTGGGTTTGTGTTTGTGTGCGTGTACCGTACAAGTGGGAAAAGTTTTCTTTAACCATGTATATGAAATGGATAATGCGTATAAATAAAAAAAAGAGTTTTGAAAGAAGGAATTGCTTCCATTGGTAGACAGTTTTGATTGAAATGGAAGGAGAAATAGGCCCCAGCTACAGTAGAAACCATGACTGAGTAATCTCTAGTCCCTCATTCGGTTTTCATCAATAATGCTATCTGAATTGTTTTAATAAAACACTGGCTTTCACTCTCTCTGGCAGCTTACATTTTTCCAGCCTTTATCTATTTATTTATTTATTGTTGTGAACGTAAACAGATTTTGTGGGCAATTGTTTAGACCCAAGGTTCTTTGGCTTTTTCAGTCGATGATCCAGTTTGAGTGGAGTTAATCTCTCCCTTCTCTCCCTGCTGAAACTCGGCACACTCGCCAAGTAGGAACACAAAGTAAATCCCTGCGGTTTCTTAAATCACTCGTGTCATGTGGGGGTAAAAGTAGGAAACGGGAGTTACTGGGCTTTTTCCTAACAATTATTTAACAAGTATTAGCAATGACCAATTTGGTCTTTTACAGTTGGTCTTTTGCTACCAAGTTAGACTAGAGTGGTACATCTTTTCTTCCTAATGTGACATAATTATTATTATGAGGGTCTTCTGTGGACCACTACCAGCATCAGGACTCATCACTTCCTTTGATAAGGCAGGAGTCAAATAATTTAACCCTAAACCCTGAGGCTGATTCACTGAAACTACACATATATTATCATTATTTCATAGGAGTGGCTTAATGTGTAACCAATAAAGTATTTTCCACAACCTGTGCCCACAAAGTTGTGTTCCCTGCCAGTGAAGCATTTTATCTTGAATTCCAGCTCTTGCATCTTGTTCTTTTGGGATGAAGTAGTTTAGTATCAAAATTCTAAAATAATTGGTATAGCAGATGTCAATGCTGTTTCCAGTTGGGTCTTAGTTTAATTTGCACTTTAGTGCGTTGTTATTTCCCAATTATGTAAGGCAGTCAATTTGCCGAAGGGCGGAAAATTGTAGTTGTCTAAACATGACAACTACGTCCCAGGTAATCAAATATTTTCAGAAAGAAAAACTGACAGAAGGACACAAGCTGTTTACAGCGCTTGAAAGAAACAGCTCTGTCAATTGTAGGTCATTATGGTGACATGCTGTTTTGGAACAAGTGTTATGTTCATTTAAAAAAAATGTCAGTGAATACAGCTTATTGAACAGTCAAAGCTGTTTATCAGAGGAAATAAACACGTTGTAATTAAGACTTCATTTTACAAAGTGAAATAATGTATTGTCAGATTCAACAACAAATGCATTTTCGCTTGGTGTCATGACGTCCTAAATTAGAAATACATTTTTCTTAATTTTTCTTCCTTAATTTGCTTTTAAGCCTGTTTCCTCTTTTTTATATAAAAACCTTATTTCTATTATATCCTCTTGAAACATTTTTATTAGGTTTCTTTACCTGTCAAGATGTTTCTGAATCCACTCATCCATTGCTTTTGTTACAGAACTGTATTTAATAGTCATCTGCATTATCACTCCATGCATGCAGTTAAATGCAGTTGTGTGTGAAGAAACACCTCAATAATATTAATTCTAATATGATATTACAGGTTTGTGTGTTTCAGTGCATGGCTCATCTTTAAGTGATAGTTAAGATTCTGAAGGCTTTCAAATGTGCCACGCTGCATAATAAGGTTCACAACACTGCATAATAAAGGGAACAGTAATTGATGATATAATACTGCCTGAACAAGATAGTGTCACACTATACAGACATAGTTTTACAGAAATAAATAAATGTTTCGTCTCAGGGAAAACTCTGCACCTCTACATGAAACAGCAGGATAAGTCCAACTGCACAATAGGAACCTTAAGTCCTGCAAAAATACGGCAGCAGAGCACTGTCTAGTCTCTTTGCCACTCAGACTGTTGTTGACTTCACGCTCTTATCGATTAGTTAAACACAGCATGAAGTGCAAAGAAACAAACACTGGCCAACTGCTCTTAACTTAAATAATAGACCATTCACCCTCCCTGACACTGCTTTTTTTTACCCTCTATCCTCTTTTGCTGCCCTCCAGCACTTCTCTTCTTCCTCTTCTCCTCTCAACCCTCTCCAACATTTCACTGCTACCATTCCTCTTTTATCTGCTTCTCTGTTACAGGATGTTTCTCTTTCCGTCTTTGTACTCTCTCCATCTGTCCTATCTGCCTTACCCTATTCTCTCCTCTCTCTCTGCAGGTCGTCCATTACTACGGTATATATCGAAGTTTTGCCTCCAAACAACCAGAGCCCTCCCCGTTTTCCCCGGCAACAATACAACCTAGAGATCAGTGAAGCTATGAGGACGGGAGCTACTCTGCTCAACCTGCAGGTATACTACTATGAATTACACAGTACGACCATTTATCCATTACTTTTAGTTAACTATATCAACCCTTATTCCATTAATTTTAACTAACTAGTTCAACAGTTTTTAGCTCTTCTCGCTTGCTTACAAGCTTTATGTTAATTGTAGCCATAGTGTGGGGTAACAGCTGACTCAATATGTGGCTATACATATTTTTTAAATCATATAATATTATTACATATTAATTGATATATTTATATATATTTGAATATATACGTATATATTCTTGCAAGGGTAGAATTTGCTGATGGATAAAGTATATATGAATGTGTGTGTCTGTCTCTGTTTACCTTTTAAGGCAGTGGATCGGGAGAGGGACCCCATCATGTACGAAATCCACAGCGGTGACCGCCATGGACATTTTGTGCTACAGCAGAAGTAAGCATGCACAAATAATTCTAATGTTTGATCAAAACTGTGTAGCTTGCTGATGTTGATATTTTCAGAAACTAAACCAGTAACCTTTTTCTTATTTGTGTGAATATCTGTGAAAAGTTTGTCTGTGCCCTATCCTGTACAACCTTGGCAACATACATTTGCTGTGTGTGTCTGTGTGCGTGGTTGAATACAGCCTAAGTTATATCATTTCAGGGCTCAAGCTCTGATGAGGGCTTCACATAAACACACCCATACTCGTGCACATACTCACTACACAGACTCTGAGGGCTTTTGTTGTATTTATTCATTTATTGCTCATTAAAAATGCATTTCTTATGCTGGGGGAAGATCCTATCTGCATTTCCAGAGGGAGGAGGAGAGAGAAACAAAGGAAAGACAGCTAGAGAAGGGGCAGAATTGCAAGGATTGAGAGGAGGAGAGGGAGAGAAACAGAGTAAAGGGTTGGAAAAAGAGATAAGAGAGGAGGGCAGGCACAGCAGTAAAATATGAGGGATAAAATGTTAGAGAGAGCTAGGAAGGAAACAATGAGCAAGAGTGACAGACAAATGAGGATTTTAAAGCAGGGCGAAAGAAAAGATGCGATTCTGCTGCACAGAAATTCACAACAACAAAGATTAGAAATAATTGAAGAGCTTTCATTTCTGCTTTCTACGAATATTTGAATGGTTCTGTTGGACATTGTGAAATCTTCCAATATGTGCCAAAATCTTTCATTGCCTCAGCTGTGTTTTCTGCATTATGGCGCTATGACGACAAGCCAAATTCTCTTTCTTCTGCACAAGTGCAACATGCCATGCAGCTCATAATTTGCACAGGATGGAATGGTTTTTCATTGCTTTTTGGACCAGTTAAATACTCCAGAAACACATCGGGAGAGCACCCAAACAGGTCTGCTATTGGCCTATTTTGCAAGGCTGGCATTAATGAAACACACACTAATGGCCAAAACGATTTCTTTAATACAGAAATAAAGGAGCCAGCATCAGTACGGGATGCAAGAGATGAGCTTTGAAGAGGTTAATCGGTTATTTTTTGAATAAATCTGAATGGTCTTATTATATTGGGTACGTCCTGAACAGTGGGGTGTATGTGTGTGTATGTGCACGCGCCCAAGATGTACATGTGCGTTCACAGACTTTGCTTTTCACGAATCATCCATAAATATACATGAACCATCTTTTAGTTTGCCTAAAAAAAAAACTGCTTCACATCTTTCCCTCTGTAGGCCACTTAACATCTGCACGCACACACACGCGCACACACACACACACACACACACACTGTCAATATTTGGAGAACGTGCATTTCAGATGGCTTCTAATTCATGAAAGTAGCTTAAATTAAAAAAAATTCAATCATTATTTAAATCTTCACTTGGAAAATAAAGTGTAATCAATCATGGGCAACATCAAAGATTTCTGCTGGTTTTGATTGGTCAGAAGTCTCAGACAGGCTGCTCCGAAGCTGTTAATCTTCCAGAGGAGTACCTTACTTATTTTTACTTATGCAGTAATCATTTGCCTCATCTGCATCACCAGAGTACCATAATCACAGTGAAAGTACACTTCTGGGTGTTATACAGTGCTTGCCAACTGTCTCAAAAGTTGTCCCCAAAGTGATTTCGAGAAAACAAGACAGGTTTCCAAAGTTTTCCCATGTTACCAGTTTTGGCAAAGGAACTACTTGCAAATGGCTAGGAGTGTCAGCATGAGAATGATTGACATAGTTAGCACTCAGTGACTTATGAACTGAAACTGTGCAGAAAATCTTGGGTATGAAAATGAATGCATACTGCACCACAATATTCTGTATGTCTAGAGGTTAAAAGGACTCATGTTCTTTCTTTCTCCAGTTCAGGGTATTTGGTTCTGGACAAGCCTCTGGACAGGGAGTCTCTGGATTATTATACCCTGGTGGTCACAGCCTCAGACGGACACCCAGATGGGGTAAGCAAAGGAGCTGTACCACACAGATATTAACTTCCCAATGGAATTAAACTGAGTGGCCGCCGAGGGGGAAACTAAATCCTTCACAGTAAAATGCCACAAACAACAGCCGTGGCATTTTGTGAAAAGAGGGATATTAGAGGCATTTTTTAATATAATATCCATTATCAAAATAAAAAGCCCAAATCTATTTGTATCAATGAATTTTAAACAAATATGGATATTTAAATCAATGGCTATGAAAAATAATGGTGAATATAGGCTCCGGTTCTGCAACCCTGAGCATAAACAATAAGCAGTTAAGAAAATGGATTGGTGCCTGGCAAAAGAATTGATCATTGGTGCGAGTGAAGCTCACCTGGCCTTCAAATTTTTGTTTTTCAGCTTTAACAGTGAGGTGTGACGGAGAAGACCTTGCAGCATGAAAGTGTGCACTAACAAAAAACTTTAATCTACCAATCATGTATACAAAGTAGGATTAAACAGTTATCCTCTGATTTCAATTTTTTAACTGACCACTGATACTACTATTTTCTGTTTAGACGTATAAGCATGTCACTGTTAGATCATACAGCTCTGAGAAGGTAACTTGAATTGTGTCCCCACAAAGCTGGCTATATCAGAAAAATCTTTTTCACTCACCATTTTGTCCACATTCAACGTCACACCCAAAAAATGAGCTCTTTTAAGAAGAACCTCCAAAGCAGATAAATAAAAATGGCAGCTTGATGTATTATTGTGGGTATTGGAACAAATTGATGTAGGCCCAATACCTCAAATGTCAGTCTAGCTGATCACACAATACAGGTGTTGTAATTAAAGACTAACTTGACATCTCCTGAAAATGTTGTTTTCACTCGCCTCCAGTGGCTCACCTTGCACGCTGCAGTGATGAACAGATGTACTCCAGAACCCTGTGACATAACTGTTGTGTGGTTACATCAGTGATGCTTGTTGTAGTCAGCAGTAAAATAGACTTTTCTTTGTCACTTTATGATGTGACTCTTTTTAAACACAAAAATGTTCTAGTAAGTGTTCGTTTTCAAATAAAAGAGATGAGAAGACAAAATTCAAATGTTTTCCTAATTGTTTTGGCATTTCAGTGCAGATTTGTGCACTTGGAAAAACCTGAAAATGCAACTGTTAATGCATTTCATTTTTCACATATAAATTGCAGATTTAACTGGCTTAGTGTGGTCTGAATAAACATGTAAAATAACAAAATGGCTAAAAATGTCCCCTGCAAGAGCTATTTTGCAAAGATAAAGGTGTGTGCCCTTCCTCACTTTCTCACTTACCTAATTGTCTACAGGTCACCAGAGCCGCTTTATATTTCTCTCTGTTTGTGTTCTCCTCTTCTGTCTTTTTTTAAAAGTCAAATCTTCACATGAAAGTCAAATGAAGACATTGGATGCCCTCCCCTCTTCCCTCCTCCTGTACTCCTCTGGCTTTCATCAGTTTCCTTTCTTCCCTTTTCTCCTCTCCTCCTCATCATCTATTAGTCTAGCATTAAGAAAGGTTTGTATCCCCTCCGCTCCTCCTCCTTGTCACTGACCCCCCTTTCCGCACATGTCAATTAAAACAAAAGGTAAAGTTTAAGGTCCCTCTGAGGAGAGAAAATGCTGATTTGAATGCTGTGACCTTCTCTCACACAAACCCTAGCGCACAATATGTCGGGTGAGAACAAGTGGGAGGAAGTTAGAGAGAGAGGTGAGGTATTAAGGCAGCTCTTATTACCTTAACAGTTGTACTGTATGTCCATACACAATTCTATAAAGGAGTCTTGACACGTACACAGACTCAGACATGCACACATGTACTTAGTCAATTCCTCTCTGGACCTTGACAATTAGTGTATTATCTTTGTGCCCCAAAGGTCTTTAAGCCAGAAAACTGCTAAAAGTAGTTTGGACATTTTTCTGCTTGACACTCCATTATATTCTGAACAAGGGGAAAAAACAGAGTAGAATTGTGAATAGAGAGAGAGTGAAGGTGTGCAAGAGAGGAATGGTATGAGCTACACAGAGACAGGAGGGAAGACAAGGAAAGAAAGAAATAGAAAAAGGAGAAGAGAAGATTGGGGTGTAGTTGCTTTATACAGGCCCATTAATCAGCATCACTCGAAAGGCCTTGGGTTGTCTTCATATGCGTGTGCACACACACTCTCATGCACGCGTCTGTGTCCCCTATTATTAAATGTCCCGTTGTGAGAGTGTCAGACTACAAAGTGCCTAATTGGCTATTTGGCCAGTGAATCCATCATACTGCCACAGATTGAGGAGCCTACAAGCTGGTGCAGTAAACCAGCTCAACTGTAAGGACACTGGTCATCGTAGGATGCAACTTACACTTTGGTACAGAGCATTGTGTGAATTGGCGCTGCTGTAGCTGAATTTATGCGGGTAATATGACTTGTGGCTTAAAGAATAAGGCTGGTGTTCTTCTATGTTTTTTTCTTAATGCGAACAAATCCCATGAAAAGAAAAAAACAACGTGTTGATTCTTCTTACCATAATTTCCAACATATCTACTAGGGTTTAATGGTACACAAAATTCACGGTTCAGTACGTTCTCAGAACAACAAAAATGGCCTTAATTCTTACTGTAACCGTTAAGACACCCAAATACTGACATATTGTCAATAAGAAAAAATAACAAATGTCAGTACTGCTTCATTGTAAGACTACGAATAAATGTCAAGATAGAAACCTTCAGCTCTGCTCTCTCATTTGTGTTTGCCATTTGGATAACATTGACACTACATGAACTTATCTAGCCTGGCTAACAGGGCCGAGCAGACCAGCATGCTACAGCTGATAGACAACAGCTGGTGCAATGCCAAAACATTCAAGGTAAAATTTGTGCTCTCTTCCACGCATGCAAGTACATAGACATAAATAGACCATTTTGACAGTAATTGTTTGGGTCACAGGGCATACCTAACCGAGGAAGTCCCATGCCCTGTCATTCCTACTGAAGACATAACTATTTAAAGATTGGTCACAAATATATAGCTAAAGTAAATTCCTGAGACAACTGGGAACTGCAGTTTTTAGTAAGTAGTGCATTTTTTGGGGGACTATTTTCAGTTAAGTTGAATACATTTTTAAAGTTTAGACACTTGTCATGTCAGCAGAGTACTAGTGGGATGTGTCTGTGCTGCACACCTGCGTGAATATGATCAGGCGTTACTGCTCAGGTGGCAGCCCAACAGCTTGTGAATGACACTGTGATCGTGAAGCATGAAGGACTTGAGAAAAATATAAAATATTGCCAGCTGTATATTTTTGTTGCAACACCATAGAGCAAGCACAGCAGTTTGGTGTTAAGGGTTTGCGATGCCAAGTTTTTAAGCTGGCAGATATCAGCGGATTCCCATCTATCACAGGTGGTTGCTGAGCAATTGTCAAGACAGGCAGGGATCACACTGCAGAAAGTGAGACTAAAGGCCAAAATCACATTTTACTCCAAAGGCTACCCTTCACCACAGGATGCTTGCACAATATGTGTGCATGCTAGTGCTATGAAAAGTCACATGAATAAGAACATGTACTATATGTATTAGGTGATTAGATTCTCATATTTTGATCACATTGGTCATTTTCAAAAAGAACAGCCTGTTCCAGGTAAAAATATGGCGTCTGCAAAGGGGTGGGTGTTAAACTTTTGCCACGGTATCAGCACGATAATAACCTCAGTGGTGTGCACTTATCAAAAAATGATGTGCTTAGAGCCCCCTGATGCAAAATGGAGTTTACTGCGTCTCTTCCTCCCTTTGTGTCTGTCTGAGTGTGTTTGCCAGTATTGCTCACCGCCTGCCTTTTCATTATATCCGAGCTCATTCTACTTTACATATATTGGCATTCAGATAAACTGTTTTGTCAACTGTGAGCTCTTAACCTCAAATTACTTGCATCACTGTGTGCCCTGCCAACCTCAATAGCCTGTTGTCACCTCTGTGATTGTCACTCTCCCACACACACACCCCCACACACACACAGCTTTTGCTCTTCTCATCCCACTGTTGTGAATCCGTTAGCTCTACCTCATTTTCCACCTCCTCCCAGTTTCCTTCTTTAAAAGTCAAATCTTCAATATCTTTCTCTCCCCCCCCTCTCCCTCTCTCTCTCTCTCTCTCTCTCTCTCTCTCCCTCTCAAAATTAACAAATTTGTGACCACCTCTTACCAGCTTCTTTCTTTCCTGCGCTCTTACTTGGCAATATTGTTTGTGCTTTACTGTAAAGAAAAAAAACAGGTTTTTTAATCAATTCCCTCCCAACATTGACAAACCTGCTTTAATGCTTCAGGTGCTCAATTAAGTTTGTTGTATTTCACGACTTTTCGAGTTTACAGCATACACCCATAATCAGTTTCACATTGAATGGCTAAAACAATGGCACACCATCAACATACATTGTTTGTTCGCAGTGTTTACATTTAAAACTGTGGATCCGTCATGTCTGTCTCATATCCCGTCCGTCCGACTTTTGGTAACGAAACAATAGCATTTGGTGTGTTTATTTAATTAAAGCAACTGAGCTGTCTGTTCCTAAAGGACTGCCATATAATTGACTAGAAAAAAAAAAAACTAGCAAAAATGGGCTATTTAGTTTGTTACATAAGGGAGGTGTTAGTAAGAGGGACAAATAGACAAATATGGTAAAATAAAAAATAAAAAACTTTTTTGAGTTGTCGAACATGTTAAATGGAATATAAAATACAACTTTAGATGTTTTCTCAACTGACCAGAATAGTAACACAAATGTGTGTGTGTGTGTGTGTGTGTGTGTGTGTGTGTGTATGTGCGTGTGTAGACC